CCTGGCTCCACCCCTTCCAGTGGCTCAGGGGCACTGCATGCATCTGAGCTCCCCCAGGTTGGCCCTGCCTTCCCACCAGGTGGTCAATCACTGGTTGACTCAGAATTTCCACTACACAAGTTGAGAAATGAAAATTGAATGAATCAAGAAATGAGAAAATATGTGTAATACTGAATGAAAAAGATACAGTAATTTTTCCAAATATCCCAATTAGAAACTGAATAAATCAGTGTTAATTTCCATATGTAAGGGCTAACTGATTTCTTGATATTTCAGAATGTAGGGAAGGTAGGATTAATAGGGAAAATAATGATGAAAAATATCTATTATACGGCAATATCAGATTAAGAATGTCATTAAGTTGTTTTGGTTTTTTTTCTAGTGTATCTGCTTTTCAACATTATTTAAACATGGAGATTAACAATTCTAAATATTCTTCACTTAAAAAAAACCACATATATATATTCCACAATGTTTCTTCATTATTAAGCTCAGATGTAGGATTTTATTTGCCTTTTAATGAACAGCCTTTGCCTTCACCAAATATTAGACAGAATTCTGTACAAGCTATCTTAAAAACAAAACAAAACAAAACAAAAAAAACCACAGGACTTTGAGATGCAACTTTGATTACTTCTAGTATATCAACTCTTATTTTCTTCAGCAAAAATTCTTTGAAACAGTGACTTCAACATCCCTAAACTGAGTAAAGCAAAGGGTGAGATAAGAGGTGTTCAGCTTTATAATGAAGTATTTATGCCATGTGAGGATTACTCATCTCCAAAGTATACAAAAACATATTTTTTTTTAACCATCCCTTCACAAAATAGCTTTAAACATAAATAATATATTTACCAATTATTATTATTTGGCACAAGATAATTTTAATGCGGTTCTTAAACTCTAATTTATTTAGAAATATATAGATTGAAAAATGCTAGAAAATACTATAATGAAATGATAATCTTAATAAACAATCAGAATTACACAGATGAAACAACTACAACTCTACTTGGATGAGTACAAAAAGGCAAGCATCAGACCTAAATTAGAATGTTTCTGATTACATTGTTCTTTCTATACACAGAGATGGATAAGAAACAAGAAATCTCATGAGGTTTAGCACTGAGAAGTATCTTCTACATAAACTTGGCTAAAAGATTTAGAAAGGCAGTTTTAGAGAGAACTGAGAGCCAGGTCTCCTCCGTGAACATAATAACCCAAGACAGCTGCCTTGAAAGCAATGAGTAAAGTGAAACACATAAAAACAAAGCATAAGGTAATTCAAACATCTACTGCTGGCTGTTCAAAGAACTGAGATTTCCAAAGCTGGAAACAAATACTGCAACCCACATGTCAGAACTATAAGTACATATTTTCAAGTGTAACACAGGATAACAACATTTTTATTTTTGCAGTGCTGACAAATGATGCCCAGAATTTTACTGAAGGTTGAATTAGGCCCTTTTTTTTTCCCCTTGAAAAGGAATTTGTCAACAAACAAATCTTAAAGACTGTTACTTCAAAGCAGTCATTTTATTAAGTATGAAGCATTTCACCAGAAGTATAATTAGGAAAAAAAATCATATAAAACAACTGCATCCCAAGTGGTAATTCTGACAAAACATATTGCATTTGAAAAATCTGCTAAGGGAGCAAATTGTGCAACCATTGCTGCTTAACCATCAGAATAACCATCTCAGAGGTCTGCACTGAAACAAAGATAATTCTCCATTGGATGAACAGAGCTCAGTGAAGTATCAAAGTGTTTAACAATAGTACCATAATGCTCTCTCAAGTATTATTTTCTGACAGAGTTAAAACTATATTAAAAATTTAGCCCAAGAGATCTGTGACATAGAACGAGGAATGAAACACATAGCAATTATTTTAAGCCCTTACTACTCAAATTTCTCCTAGGCAAACTACAAAATTCCATCTGTGTACTGAGGTGCCCCCTTGAACGCTTTTGGCAGACCACATGCATTAAGACAAGGGCTACACAGACACAGACCTCTGAATGCTGTTGACAAGGTAGCAGTTTGCATATACATTTTTGTGTCCGGCTGTATTCACACTAGTAAATCAGCACAGCAGATGATGGTAATCATAGAATCGTTAAGGTTGGAAAAGACCTCTAAAATCATCTACTCCAGTCCTCCACCCAGCCTCGGTATTGCCCACTAATCCACATGCCTAAGTACTACATCCACTCTCTCCTTAAGCAGTCTGCAGCACTGAGTGCAAGGCTGAGGCTCATGCAGAAAAACGTGCAAACCTGGGTTTCACCTGCTCCTGTGGCCCCTTGATGCCACTGCAGAAATTATAGTCTCATTCAGGATACTGCCACAAAAATGAAGTCCTGTCTGTGAAACGGAGTTACAAATCTCTGCCAGACTTTCTCCTAACCTGACTGCTGGCCCCAGCCATGCACTGCAGCAGGTCCTTTGGAGTGTGCAGGAATCGGCTGTATCCAGTAGAGGGCAGCCCCGGCCTCATTTCACAGATAAGCCAGGCAGCACCCTGCTACCAAAACACGCTGTGTGAATCCACTATAGGCATACCATCTTGTTTTTCAAAGTATTTATGTAAAAAAAGGAGTGCTCCCTACCTTTGAAAAAAACAAGCCTGAAAGGCTGATGATTTAAAAGAAATCTTGCTAAATAATGTTAGTGTAAAATAGCTTCATAAAAATACATGCTGGACATAATCCCATCTTTAAATCTATGCAACAAAATTATAGTCTTGTAATATTAAAATTTGAAACTAAATAGAACAGCAACAACAAATAGTCCATGAATACAGTTTTCTGTTCTGTACTCGGCTCCTATACTAGTCAGCTACAAAACATATATAGTGAATAAAATGTTTAATGACTACCTATTGGCCATAATATTTAGAGACAGTACAGAAGAACTTATTCCCCCAAATTAATGTATAAGTTTTTCTAAGGGTGATATTCACAGCTGAAATAGAAAATCTCTTTCCATAAAGGCCATGTTTGGAGTATTGATCTATGCAATCAAAAAACTCTTCTTCTTCATCTTATTTTTTCCTAGGTGAACCAGTTAGACCCACTTAATATTTATTCCCATGCTATTTGTAAAATCATACAGCTATTAATTTAGATGTTTTTCTCCATTCCAAGATGTATAATCAATAAAACTAGATAGTAACAATGTCTGATCTCAACTGTTTCATCAATTCTACTCATCTTGTAGGACAGGAGTTAACCTTTGAAAAACTGCACATGGAAACATTTTCAATCAACATACTGCCTGCTAAGAATAAAGAATTTTGTGCAAAATACGGTAATAATAATTTTTTTTGCTCAGAAATTGAATTTGTACAAGGGGCAAGAGATTGCATAAATTCTATAGATATGTAAATATTAAGATAATTGTCAACATGAGATCTTTTACACAAGAACATTAGAACTTCCCTTCTGTGTTTTGATGCTATGCCTAATATTCCTTAAACTATTAACAAAGGAAATAAATTGTTACTAGTTATTTATAACCTTTCAAACTGAGAATCAGCCACACATCAATTAACAACCCCATGTGCTGTTCTAAACAACTGGAATGGGTCTCGCATATCATCTTCCAAATGCATGTTTTAGAAAAGCAGGAATATAAGGTAACTGCATTTTACTCTGCAGTTAATTCCACGACACATTACCCAAATCCCTTTTGTCTACTTGAGAAGTAAATCTGTAATCATTCATATACATCTAACCATCAGCCATGTCTTACAAAAATTCTTATGTGCTCGTCTAGTCCTCCATAGAACATATGATTTTATTTGAACCCAAACTACCATCCAAGAAAAAAAAGGTTTTGGATTAGCAGCCAGACGTTCTTTCAGGTTACTGATGGTGCTGTTCTGTGATTCTTGTGGAACACAGAGACAAACAGCTACAAATGAATCATTTCTCATCCTATTCTTTGGATGATAACTGTTAACAAGCTACCAGATGATGATTTACACATTTGCAGTTGCCAGTAAATCGTCATTTTTAATTTTCTTATTGAAAATGATAATAAGTTGTTTTGAAGACAATCTTATTCTAATGTGATCTGCTACGAATAGGTAAACATTGCACAGACATCCATTTTTATGATAAGGAAGATGCCTGCACACCATATTCGCCTTTTGACTTTGACAAAAATGATGTAAAGTAGTCTCCAAACGTGTCATGATAGTAACAGTAAGAAATATCACAGATGTCTAATATTCTTACAAAACTAACATTTTTTTAAAAAGGTAGAGGAACAAAATGTTGAACTTAAATATACTTGAAACATGGTAACATGTGAAGCAGAAATACCCCTTTCTGGTCATATCTCCAAACTCAAAAAATCGAATTACTTTCATTACAGAGAAATCACAGAAATCTTCATGTGATATGATATGACTTGATACAATAAATGTCACTAAAGGAAAATTAAAAGCAGATCTTCATTATGTAAGAAGATATTCTATTAGGTTAAGTGCAGCTTGCTGCTCCTGAGCCATCACAGAAATGCACAAAAAACAGTTACATTTAAAAGCAGACTATAGGTACAGAACACCTCTTCCAATCTTTACCAAGATAAATTACTTATTTTCTCTTTCCTAAGAAGAGATTCAATATTCAGAAACACTGAGAAACAATTTGCCTCACAACTTTTTTGCTTTGATCTTCATCAGGATCCTGTATCTACCAAAGTTTACTCAATCTCTTCAGTTCCTATTAGTCATTATTTTCACTCCTAAGTTTCCTTGTCTACCTTGTCAATTCCACTGGTTCTTTTTAAGAATGAAGAGATTTCTCTTTCTGTTTCTATACCCTACAGAAATTCACTGTATTTTAATTGTGCAGGATTGAGATGCACAAACACAGATCTTTTCTCCTGCACAGACCTTGTTTTAGGGACGTATTTTGTCATTTGTCAGTATGAAATAGCAGTTCTACATGGGAATGCTCCCAAAGTAATGAAGCATAGCAATGTACGTACCTTATTTTTAACTGGCAGATTACTTTGTGCATTTTGATGATCATTTTGATGATCACAAGTCAGTTTAATTGGTACTGCTTTATTTTTCATCTCCAGAAGTTCCTGAATTTCTTTCACTTGCAACTTCAACCTTCTTCTCTCTTCTTCCAAACTTTGCATTTGTGCATCAGGTCTCTCTCTCTTTCCCCATTCAGAGGTATTCTCAAACTGCCATCTTTCCAGCTGGGAAGGATTTGGGGGCAGAGTGGGAGAATGACCAAAAGAGGAAAAGAAAGAGAAGTATGATAAAATCTGTTTTTATAGGATGAAGCTAGCAGCCTCATCTCAAAGCAAAGTGATATCTTAGAATAAGTCTAAGATATAAGCTTTCGCAGTAATAAAATCAAGAGCTACAAAACATGAAAAAAAGGATAATTTTAACATATAGTTAACTTATATACTTATATATATATATATAAATCTTTTTTAAAGAATATTTATTAATTAGATTTTTTTTAAAGGGCTATGTAAAAATGGAAAAAATTAGAAATGCCATGCAATCTTGCTTTTTTTTTTTTTTTTTTTTTTGTCCTTCACCTTGGGCAATGATTGTGATTCAGCTGCTTCTCTCCATTAAAATCATATCAAGAGAAAACAACTTATAAGCATGAAAAAAATCACAGAAGTAACTGAATGACATTTTCTCTCAAAAGTAAAATAGCTTTCTAACAGAGGTTGAAGAGCATCCAGATAGGAAGAGCAAATGGAATAGCATATTCCAGCATTTTGTCTAAGTAAAGTTCTCCCTTAGCAAAAGCAGACATTGACAGTGAGTAACAAAATTTAATCTTTCTCATATCATTTCATTGTACTTTTCATGCCATTGGAATTTTCTTAAACAATGAGCAAAGGCATCCAGGAAAGGATATGCCAGAATAAAAAGCTGAAATTGGCCAGAAAAATAATATTCATTTAGTAGCATGATTCAAAATGGAAGTGAGCATGGAGAGAAACATATCATATATTTGATCAAATATTTGAATTGCCAAAAGACAAGTGATCTTTTGAAATATATGTATTGTATTAAAAATTATATATAAAATTCAAATATAAATATTTTCTAAATCTCTCTAGTGAGGACAAAAACTATAATTGATGGAAAACATAAAGCGATGTATATTTTTCCAGATACTTCCCCAGCTACTATTCTAAATATGGTAAACTGGAGTCCCAGAAAGACTGAGCAAAGTAGGAAGAAAGAGAAAATAATGAGGTTTTTTTTTCTCCACAATTGTCCTTTACCAATAATGAAAATGAGTAAAAAAAACCCAGTAATTCTTATGATTCACTGTTTCCACATACAAGTTAGAACTCACCATGAGTTTCTCTGTTTGAAAATGAGATCTGTAATACACAAAGATATATGTAATTTGGGCATGGGCACCTCATTAACAAAAGGGATAATGGGAAATCAAAGGCAAAAGAACTCTGAAATTACAAGAGAATACCTATTTAGCAATTAATTAGAGTCAAATCCAAATTCAATTTCTAAGTTCATAAATACAGAGAATGGGTGTCAACTAAAGAGTCGGTTGTCAAAGTGTTATGAACTGAATGGATTATTTTTTAAGACATTTCACCCTACCAGCAAAAGTTACTTCCTCAGACTGTTCCTTCTCATTGTGGATTACTCATTTGAAAAACAAAACAAAATAAAACGAAAAGCCCCTCAACCACTCTTGAAACCCTAGTCAGTCTTAATGGTAGTATTTGGAGAGAGGTCAAAAGAGTTCTTAAAACTAAAACGGGCCTTTAGTCTAAAATTAGGTACAGTAGCAAAAAAAAAGAAACATATTCCTTTTATACTCTGCATCATACTAAGACATAATCTGGGAACTAATTTTGACTTTTCAAACCATTATAATACTCAGCAGCCACAGAACTGTCTTTGTATACACAGCTACAAAATTAGTCACTTGGTTAATGCTGGTTTTGTCTGTTTTTTTCCTTTTTTTTCTTTCCCCGATCTTGATATAGAAAGATACAGTAGAGTGAAAAGCCTACATGCTCTACATTTATGCCATCTCAGTCTTTAGTACTACCTAAATAAATTCTCTAGAATGTGATAAGCTTCTGCAACAAAATTAAACAGGGAATCAGGGATTGAACTTTTTTTCCATATGATCTTTCCAAAAGTGACAGAAGGAGCCTAAGATGTTAACTCCAACTCTAAACAGAACGTTAGATGCCCACATCCGTAAACTCTATCCAACAAACATGCATACAGTAACTGCAAAATAAAACATTGCATAGATCTATTTACCATCAAATTATTTTTCCTTCACGTTGTTCCGATTTATAGTATTCAACTACTGTTTAGTGGACTACAATCACATATACTGTATTTTTGTTTAAAAAAAAAAAAAAAAATCTCAGGTATAATGTCTTTAAAGTACCCATGAAAGATTTGGAACACAAGAAAGACCTAAGTTTCTTCAAAGCATCTGCCAAAAGATACAAATTCTAAGCCTCAAAGTTCACCTTTTCACAGTGATGATGCTAATCAATACCAATTCATTTTTGGCTGGCTTCACGTAGAGAGAAATCACAAAGCCATCCAAGGTTGAATTTCAGTCAAGTAATTAAGCACAAGATGACTACTAAGCCGAGAGGTGATGTCAAAGATAAATTTACTTATCTCTGTGTGTAAAAACTGAATTCATTGCAGCCAGGATGTCTAGAATCTCATGTCTATAATAATAATTTTTGACATTCAATGTATTAGATATACAAAGATCTCTAGAACAAAGTCACAAAATGATTTTGTTTATATATCTTTCATAGACAAGATTGGTATTGTTTATTTTAATATAAATAATTGCTGAGCAAAGTATTGGAGCTCACATTTTCTTAAATATTATATTAGCTTATTTTCTGAGTGTCAGTAGTTAACATTTGTTTGTTGTTCACTAGAATTTTCCCAAACAATATGCTTATTCCAAACAGCATTTTTCATATAAAGCTCTCCAAAAAGGTACTTGCTCTCTCATTTATCTTTGGTAAATAAAGTGCAAAAATGTCAGGTGCTAGATATCAATTTTCGGATTTCAGCTTGGACCACCATCTTCACAAGGTCATCACATGTGATTTTTCTCTGTCTCAATTAAAAAGATAACTTTCTTATGAGAATTTATCTCTGACACATTCACCATGCATTCCTAATTCCACTCAGGACCCAAGTCCTGCATTACAGCACACTCGACTTGCAGCTCCAGGAGTTCAGCTTGCGGCATCTAAGGCCAATTAGCTGATGTGAACTATAAAGAGCAGGAAGAAGACTCAGCAGAAGAAGTTTACTGACACTTCAATGTTGTTTTTAAATTAACTCTTTCCCTTTCAGTCCCTGCCTGAGCAATGCCTGATTCTGTCTTCATGGCCCGTTGATCCAGAGCTGCACCCCATCCTTGACCCATGACCTACACCAGCCCTAGTTGCTGTGGGCTTATTTAATGTTATGGACCCAGCCCTGGTTACCAACACCAGGCTCATTCAGCTTTCCTGGGCCAGGTAGTGTGGAACTGGGTCCTGGCCTGTATCAGGCCTGCCTCAACCTTCTGCTCCTGGCTCTCCTTTATGTAGGATGCAACCTGCCACCCACTCCCTGAAACCACCCCAAACATTCCTGTCATTCATAACAAAAAAGCAAAGAGGTGGTTCAACCCTTGAGTAAAGTGCCTAACAGCTTGTGTTAAGAGAGGAAAAACTAGGAAAACAAATTTCAGAGACAGTCTAGATTGGTCCTTATTGTTTCACTAAAACCAAATGTTTTGACAATATTTGAAAATAATCACAAGTATAATTTTCCTAAATAGAAACAAATAAGAGAGTGAAATCATTTACTCAAACTTTTTTTTTTGTTGTTGTTTTTTTGAAAACCTGTATGTACATATTTACAGTTAAAAAAATGGCAGAAGAAATTTATGTGAATGTAATACATGTAGGCTGCAGGAAACTCAGGTCATGATAACTCTAACTTAGGATACTTCTGGCCTGCAGAAAAACAAGTACAGTTAAAGACATAAGTCCATATTTGCAGAAATGAAATGCAAAATAAAAATATTTGCTACTCGATAATTTTCCAGTGAGATGCATGAGTCCAGTTTTATCTCTCCTTTTTTTACTCAAGTCATATTTTCAAAACAATTTTAATAACTGCAGCAGTATTGGTATTGAATGTGTGAGAAATATTTCCTATGCAAGTTCAACTACTTGAAGGAGACTAAAGCTAAGCAAAAGGATCAGGTCTGTAATGTTAGGAAGAACAAGAAAAATTTGTATTTCATGATCCCTCACATAGCATATTTTGCTAAAAGTCTTGCAAAATTGTTATGAAGTTTCGGAATGCATTCAAGTCTGCTCAGCCCACTTTCAGATACTGTAAAAAGGATCTTTTTATAACTTCCTGCTGTAGCTTCTGGAAAAGATTAAATGCAATAACTAACAGCAGCGTTAGATATTAACTCAGACTTTTGAGAACAAATCCTCATTAAAATAAAGTAAAACAAAACAAAACAAAACCAAAAAAACTTCAGGAATCTGATTCCCTCTAGAAACAAGATTTGGGATGTTTGTTCTTTAACTGAAAAAACTCACCAACTTTATTTTCCAATTACAAGTCTTTACAGAAAATAAGTTTTTCACTAAAACAGAAGAAAACAAGTAACAATATGCTGATGAGCTCTGCACACAGACTCAAAACTGTACTCCTGAAGGTGCTCCAAGAGACCTAATCCCCCTCACTGAATTTAATATTACTACCTCCCCACACATTATGGAACTGTATGATCTACTCCTTTCTGCATTGTTTCAAAAGACTGAAAATCACCTAATCCACTGCACAAGTAGCTTGTGCAGACTCACTTTTCTTTCCACTGCACAGCCAAAGACAGTTACAGTGAGACCAATACAGGAAGATGAGAGAGCATCTAGAGGAACTTTTCTCAGTAAGGAAGGTAAGCCAAATGCTACTGAAAAATGAAAATACTGAAAAATGCAATGAAAGGCAAACGCTCAAGAAACATTAACTGTTTTGAAACTACAGAATAAAATTTCAGTGAATATGCATCTGTACATAACATATGTATGAATATGTGCGCACACACACGCACAGACATCTATATTTCAATAAGGAGAACTTTGGAAAATAAGTATTTCAAATATAAAGAACAGAGATCCTGACAAAACAAACAAAACAAAACAAACAAACAAAAAAAAAAAAAAAAAAAAAAAAAAAACAGAAACAGGAACTCCTCCTGATATGGTTAAATTAAAGAAAAAGTTCTTAAAGCTATACTTTTGTTTAAAGCAATATAAGAGTTCTTGAGGTTTAAAGAGTTTCACTGAAGATTTTTCTCTTTCCTTTAAGGAGGATAGAGTAGGATGGAGGGCAATGCCTACCCATTTTATAACGGGTATAATGATAACAAATACAGGATGAGGAAGAAGAAATGTAAAAGTTTGGATGTGATTTCAAGTGGAAAGTGGAAAAATCCATGCACAAATCTTCCCAGGAAGTTTAAAAAAATACAGTATTTGGGTTTTTTGTTTGTTTGTTTGTTTGTTTTCTTTTTGTTTTTAGCACATGGTTTTGTTATTTTCTGTAAGACTCGGAAAAGCGAGGGAGTTATTTTAGATGCTTCAGGCTGTCAAAAGAAAGTATTTAAAACAAAAATGGACAGAAGACAAGCAGTATGGCTAGGAGCTATGGTTTTGATTTTATCTGGTATGGACTCACAGTGAGATCAGAAACAGAAAATGTCGGTTCAACAAGAAATCCTCTGTGGTGCTTTTTAATAACAGCATTTTCTGACAAATATTCTCCAGGCATCTGTGCAAAAAAAGAAACCAAACATTTCCTCACAAGATACTTCACATTACATGCAAAATCTTTTTCCCAACAGAACTGGTTAACAACAGAACATTTTCATTTATCTATTTAAAGTCTAAGCCTTGCTCATCCAGACTGAAACATCAACTTCTAATATTATCTGCCTGCCTACTTATAATCAATAGGCAAGATGAATATGACCTATAGACCCGTGACCCAAAGAAACATGAATTACTGTTTAATAAAAAGAAATTGCCTGTAGTATCACTCAAATATCTGGACAGTATCTGCTGTCAGACCTTGGTAATCCCAATCCTTCTCTCCTTGTGCGTCTTTCTGCCTTGGCTATGAGTTTACCTAATCCCTGTGGACTTCTCTGGTGATAACCATGCTGGTGGCTGGCCTGGCAGCAGCTGCAGAGATGGCTCTGCTCTTCTTAGATTCTGAGGCACTGTGCCCCTTGTGCACTCCCTCACAGAGCAGCCTGCCCTTGCTGAACCCTAGCAGTTCTCTAATGAGACCCCCGGAAATTTTCCATATCTTGGCAGAATTTCATATTCTAAAAATTAGTAGGAAAAAAAATTAAAAAAAGATTGCCTTTTAGTTGCGATTTCCTATTTTCATATATTTTAATTTACAATTGAATTCTGAACTCCAAATTAAAAAAAAAAAAAAGAATTAAAGTGAGATAACTAATCAAAATCTAAATTTATGTGGGCAAGTTGATAAGAATATGGTAGCATTAAAATCTGCCTTCCTAAAATCACCTGTGAAATACTTCTGTCACTGAACATTCATTATCTGTTAACATATGAAGTTTTACTTTCTATTTTATTATTCACAACCTTTTCCAGCTTCACATTTTCCAGCAATAGCAAGCAGCTCTTCCTTATTTCTCCCTGAGGCTCTTGGAACTCCACACCACTTGACTTAATTTTGTGTTCTATATGCTGAACTGCATTCTTTATTAGAGTAATACCACTTCTAATCTGTGGTACCAACATATTTCTTCCTAAACAGAACAGAATTATTCTGTCTGGGAATTATTTTCAATTTAATTTTCTGGAGGGAAATTCTTATTTTTTGCAGGTAGACTGCTATCAGCACAGTCATCTTTTTCCCACATGGAAAAAATTATGAAGCAAAGGGAAAAAAAATCTGAATTAGAAACAAAATTAAAAAAAAATCAACAGGTATTTTTATAAATTTTGAAGGAAATCTATCAAAAATTCCAGTTGCTAAAACTACTCCAATTCAAAAAGATTCAAGATGAATTAAAACATTATATTAGTTTTGATGACACATTATATTTGATGTCCTATTTATTTGACTAAAGAAAAAAGATTCCTCTGAGTATGGCAGCAGTGATGCAGTACGATTCAAATATCTTTTGCTATGTACATCAATACTGGCATTCAGCTTATATGGGAGCTCAAAACTATTTTGTTTCTAAATTACATGCAGACTATGCAAGTAGAGCTATCTACATTGTTTCTTCTTTGATTTTATACAATTATTTTTTGATCAGTATATATTTTGGAATGTGTTTACAGTATAGGATACATGCAGTCACTTTAATAGAGGACTTCATACCTCCAAAGCATGGCAAAACTTTTGTTCTAAAGCATAGCTGTGGAGTTTCTGAACACAGCTGTTTCCTAGCAAATCCCTCCCACAGTAGAGCTTTAATGTTCTTATTTGAAGATAGGAACTTGTCTGAAAAGCTAATAATTAAAAAAGATCTGAACTCTAATCTATTTAAAAATGCCTTATGTACTGACTCTTCCATTTATAATAAATATTTTTGTTCAAAAATGCTTTTAGAAAATTCTTGTTAAGTAATACATATAGAGGTTATTAAAAACATTTTTCCAGTTGACAAAAGCTGTTTCAGAATGTGGATTCTAATATCAACAAATTCTACCTCTTATTTTTCTATTAATATTTTTCTATTAATTTTCCTTAGATGACTACAGTGCCATTCCACTGCATGCCTTTCCTTCAGAAACATGTAAGAAGACAGATTTCACATGAGGAAGATGCTCCTGTCCAAGTGGATAGGAAATACTTTACTTTGTTCTGCAATACAACTATTTTGGTGCCTTTTATTTCTTTTGAGATTGCTACTCCTGGAAGACCATAAGAGCTTGGTGGCAACTACAAATGCTCTTGACTCTGAAAGGATTCACACCTGCTTACAAGCTCAGCGCTACTGCGCACAGGTGCAGTGGCAAGAAAAATCATTACTCACAGTGTAACTTGAGGCAGTTTTTTAATGAATATTTACAGTATGTGAGTCTGTTTATATAACTTTTTTGCTTGTCATCTTAAAAAAGTAATCAAATACTACTAGAATGAATAGCCCCCTACCACAGGAAAGGTAAGACAAATGTTATTTCCCTTTTTATTTGACAAGTCCCTCGGTATGTAGTATAGGAAAAAAAAATTATTCTGCTTTATTTCTTGTTGTAAGCAAATCTGCCAAGAACTCTAGTTAGTCCATCAGAAACTATACTGATAAATGAGAAATGTTATCGTGCCTGACAATATCTTGAGGCAGAAAGACCTGCAACAAACTGAACTTTTAATGAATGTTTATATTCATAACAGCACATTTATCTGAGCCCCAGCATGTTTAGTAATCAAGTATTTCTTCCAGTACTACTCAACTGTTTAAGTCTGCAGAAATCTGATATTATTACACTATTTTGACACTATGTTGACATTAAAGAAAAGTTGCTGATTTATTGACACTTATTTTCATCCTTCCCATTTACTCACAGAGAAAATACTTTTGGTTGTAGAGCTGACTTACGGAAAGAGTGATCTTCGCAGAAATATATGATGTTCTTCATACAGGCATAAAAATATATAGGCTGAAACTTTACAACAATCATGGAATAACATTCTAAGAAGTATAAATACATTTGAGAAACAAAAATGCTTAGAGTGAGCTGGGGGAATTGCTCTTCACCTCATAGATCTTTTCATCCATGTTGATTTGTCATTGTTTTTATCATTTTCTTTTAAATACAATTTATATTGACTTCATATTATGTTAAGTAAACACAATAATAGAGAAACTAGAAACTGTATTCACTTTACATAATCCTTAATGCAGCTTTTGCAGTCTGCAGTAAGATGCATTAGCATAAAGGACAAAAAAGATAGGATTATCTGGATGCCATTTGCTACATTCATCTCTCAAGTATATCATCTGTGTTGATCATTATGTATCTGGTAGATAGCAAAGAATTCACATGATGATGTTTAAAATCATCCTGCTGATTTCAGGACAACCTACTGTGCATTCAAAAGAACACTTTTTTTTTTATTATTATTATTTTTCTTTTTTTCACTGAGTTTCAGAGTGAATTATCTATTATGTCTCCCCAAAAATCTAGTCACCAATCATCTGAAAAACTTCAGAATAACTACTTTGACCTCTCTAAATTTTTGGAATCAGTAACAAAACAATTGAAACATAATGTGCTATTTTTTACTGTCCTTTATCTTATTTTGAGCATAAGAAAAATATTTACATTTTTCATGTGGAAATAAAAATAAGGAAGTTGATAAGGAAATGAAACATCCATATGTTTTGATCATCCGGGTTACTAATTTCAAAAATATGTAGTTCAAGATGCAAACCTCATTCTCAGTATTTCCTAAGAATACTTGACATTTTTCCTGTCAAAAAGGTCTATTACAGTTAAGAGAAGTCACAGAACTGAATCCTAGGCCACATGTCTCTAAGAAAGAACATTTTATTACCATGAAAGCTAATGCAACTTCTTTCTAAATAAAAATTTAATTAGCAAAACTAATAAAAATAAATTTAAAGATAACCATTTCCATACACTTTGCAAAACAAAATACAATATCAGCTTTACCCCAGTGTTCACTTTTGGTGCAGTTCTGTTTCATATTTTTACTATAAATATTTCAATATTTAATCACCATTCCTGCTTGGAGAGCTCTCAGATTACATACATATTTGCTGTCAAAATGTAGCAGACTATACATGTGCATACATAAAAATAAAATATTTGAGTAAGAACTTTTCCTAAATTTTATCATTAATATTGATGCTGACCGAAATAGTCAGTGCATTTAGTAAGTAAATATTCCTGACTGAAGTTGAAAGTATTCAGTTAAGTCTCTCCTTCAGTTACTGGTCACTTGGTCAGTGATCATCTGAGGAATCTCTGCACAGCTGCAGGACTAACTGTCCCTTTACTACTTTTTTTTTTTTTTTTTTTTTTTTACTTTTATCAAACTCTCAGACCTCAACAGAGCTTCAGAAGGAGGATGCAACTCTACAAGCCTCAGGCTGTAAGGAGTCCTTGGGTCCTCTCACTGGGGCACACATTCTCAGAGGCTGCAGGATGTGTGCAATCATTGAGGGGTTGTGCTTCCATTTGGAGGAGCTTTGGGGAAGAGGCTACCACACTGTGCAGCATTAAAGAGGATGAGAAAGAAATGGATCAGATCTTCCCTGGGACCCCAAGGGGAGGTTGGAGGAGCAGGAAAACCTAAAAGCTTGGAAGTGAAAGAGTGTAAGAAGCCAGAAACAAAAAGGAAAGTAGGCAGCAGGAAGCCTGCAAGGTCTTTCAGCTTATCCAATATTGACTATTTTGTGACACGTGACAGGAAGAGGGGAAATGGCCTTAATTTGCACAAGGGTAAGTTTAAGTTGGATAACAGGAAAAACTTCTCTGCAGAAAGGCTTATTAAGCACTGGAATAGGCTTCCCAGGGAGGAGGTTGAGTCACAGATTTGTTTAAAATCCATTGCTAAATCAGGGACATGATTGTTAGAGCTCGTTGTTGTTAGGGTAGTATGGTTAGGTCGTGGTTGGTCTCAATGATCTTTAAGGCCTTTTCCAACCCAAGCAATTCTATGATTCTATGATTCATACTAGCCACTTCTAAAGGTTTCCCAACTCCTTTAAATTGTTCAAAAGACGTACACTTCTAATTCCACTTTGAGTATGCACA